CGACACGCCTACAACTACGGCATATCGGGCGACAGGACTGAGAATGTCATCTATCGATTGCGCGACAAAGAGTTTGATGGACTCAATCCCAAAGTGGCTGTCCTTATGATTGGTAAGTGATTTATTGTATTAATCTGACTGTTATTAAGATATTAAACATGATTTGTTTGAAAGGCACTAATAATATCGGTTGGAATAATACGGTGGAAGACACGGCACATGGCGTACAGGAAGTGCTGAAAGAGCTGATGGCAAAATTGCCGCAAACAAAAGTGATCCTATTGTCTAATACACCGCGTACTGAACCAAACGGCTCTAAATGCAAACAATTAAATGTTTATTTGAAAAAGTTTGCCGATGATAAGACTGTCTATTATGTGGACATGTGGTCACACTATGTGAATGCCGACGGCACCCAAAAGTATGAGCTCTTTGTGGATAAACTGCATCCAAATCAAAAAGGCTTTGAGGTCTGGCAGCAGACTATGGATCCATTGCTCAATAAATTGTTGCAATGATTTATAAATATTTAAAATTAACAAAATTTGTTTTACATCTTAATTTTTATGTATTTAATGTTTTTAAAAATATTTCCTTTAATAAAAGCAATAAAATAATACATGAGTTTTGTTATTCTTAGATAATAAGGAATAATAATAGTGATATTCTATAATTATTAAATTAACTAGTACAATTATGATTTTAGATTACAAGTAAGTGGCCATAAAATCAGTGTTTTTAATAAAAATCAATTGTGCTTTTAATCACATATTATAATAAATGCTTATTTGATGGGAAAAATACTGTTTCCACATAAAAATATCCACCAAATGTCTGATCACAGGCTTATATAATATTTATGATAATAATAATTTCACAATACATTTCACAATACGTTGAATGTACATAGTATTCAACGAGAAAAATTAAGTACCTTTAGTCTCGTTAGTACCTATCATTATTCACAAATCAATTATATTAATTAAAACCTGTTAAATAATCCTTTATTTCATGTCAATTATTACTCAATTAATAAATAGTTTTCTCAGAGTATTTAAGCACATGTATTGAAAACAAATATACAATTTTATTTGTACAATAAAAGTGCAATAAAATACTCGTTGAATTATACAATGCTGTCCCTAATAGTGGTAACCGCACTAATACTGGGCGTCAGTGCCCAACACCATCCGTGGGAACCGCAGCCCCGGGACGCCGGTTGGCTCACACGGCACGAGGCTTTGGTTAACCTAACACTGGCTCACATGAAAGAGGAGCAGATCGTGTTTGTGGGCGACTCTAT